CATATCCAAGCTCACAAGGAAAGACAAAAATCTCGTCACCCCCCCCCCCCCCCTTAAGAAAAAAAAAATAAATAAATAAATAAATAAATAATAATAATAATAATAATAATAATAATAATAATAATAATAATAATAATAATAATAATAATAGATAAAATAAAAAATAAAATGGGGGTTACAACATTTCTAGACGTGTGTATTGAAGGGGGACGGCCCCAGTTGTGCCACCCCCTCCAAATAAAACGAAATCCTCCAGTGATCATAGCCATCAGACTTACACACGGATGTGCACGTGCTACAAACGATAGCGTGTGACATAAGTCCGATTGAGTGTAGCTATCCTGATCATCTTCTAGAACTATTACCGAGCTGTCAGACAGTGTAACGGCGCCGCGGTCAATTCCATTGGAATTCGAATGTGCATTCTCGAGCCGCGGTGCAAGAGTTCAAGTTATGTAGCGTGCAATGCACCCGCGTTTGAATCAAGAAGGGATCATAAAATATATTATGTGCAGGGATGAATGAATGTTTGAATGGACTCCTTCAATCAGTTAGTAACCATGACATATTGTAGAAATGTTTCATTGAGATTGCATACAAATGGGCCAATTATGCACGCATCAGTTCTTCACACATAGGTCATAAAACCATTACAATGAACATGACATTTTATAGAATGATATGGAATCAAAATGAACAACCATTAGTATAATTGTGTACATTTAATATATTGAATACCAAATAATATAAGATATTGAAGTTGAACTTCATGTGAACGCTTGTAGAATGTTAATATATGGATCGTCGTAATTGTTAAATATTCTAAAGGAATTAACTATTTCATTACAATTATTTTCCTGCAAAGACATTCCATCGTCAACATTTTGAATCAATCAAACACAAAACGATACGTTTTCCAAAAATGAACAAAACCAAGAAAGGAACTGAAGACTAGGAAACCCACCACGGGAACCGAGGACTAGCTGTACTGGTCGTACCAACATGACCAAGGCAATTCATCACAGACTTCGGATCGATAAAGTTTGAAAAGAGAGAAGGAAGAAAGGGAGTGTGAAAAAGATGGAGGAGATAACACGCGGTTTATCACGTCCCCAGATGAGTGGTTTGTCCGCCATCTCTGTAATCTATGTGAGATATGGACCTAACGATCCATCAATTCTGTAGGCTATGCGTTGTCATCAGCAGCATTCCCTGGCGTTGAGCGTCTGGGCTCGGTTAGACTGTAGCCGATCGGTTGGCCAGCCTTCAGAGAAACTGTCCCCATTAAGCGCACAATTAAGCGCCCGGATCGAGAGGCAGCTACAAAATTATAGAAAAGAAATTTTGCCATCCTTGTATCTCTAAAACATAGGGAGTGTTCAGTTAAGCTCATTCAGTTGTATTTGAGATGATAATCTAATATCAAAAAGGTGGCAGTTGTATAATTATGTTATCTCGCAATGCATCGAACTCTAGTGTTCGCTATTCTTGTTCTCGATATGTTCCTAAGTAAATAAATGTCTGCCATCCAGAAATAATACTTATGTTCATTTCTTGATAATGATTTCAACAGGCAGATTGTCTTGTCATATTAATATGGGGAATATACACTTGCTCAAATCACTCCAGGTATTATCTGGCTCTATCGTTGTGATTATTGTGAATCTTTTTATTTAATACAGCTATCAAAAAGCCAAGTCAATACAAACCGATCAGTTTGGTCGACTTAAGATGGATAAAATGGTATACTAGAATAGTACGTATACGTAGTAGGTTAGTCGCCCGAACCATACGTTTCGACCTTTAAACCACAGACATCATGCTTGCTATGTACATACATGATTTTGTTTGTTCAGTGTTGTAAGTTGCCGTCAACGCTGACCGTGCGTGCATGTATGTTCTCTTTCATGCACACGATGAATGAATAGTATGAGTGACATACCATGGAGTATAGAGAGCCGGTAACCCCTGGCAGGGTCTAGCATAGTGTCTAGGCCTAGCTGTCTAGGCCTAGCTGGTATGTAGCATTTGGGAGTCTCTCTGCTTGTAGCTAGTAAACGCGTACCAAAACCGACGACAACGGCGGTGCCCCGTTTTGAAAGGTTGTGAGAGGTTTGAAAGGCTTGTTTTAAACGGCCCCAACTGGGGCATGGAAGAAATACATATAAATGGTACTAAGATGTTTTTCTAACAAAGACAGTAAAAAAAAACAATATCTTACGGAAGAAAGTTTATTTGACAGCAAAAAACACATAATAAATTGAATGCAAGATTAACAAAAAAAACAACAAAGGTTTGCGATCAATTGCAAATTTGAAACAACAGTTCTGATTGGTCAATAGTCAGCCTTCGATACTCTTGATTGGCCATTACCATTTTAGAATTGATAGCAAACCATTGTATTACGAGGCCCTAGTGAGGACCACGGAGTCGGAGCGATATAGCGCACAGCCCGTCAAAACCTAGTCTCAATATAAAGACTGACATGAGACCGAACGAGATCGACAAAAAAAGAAGACATAATGCAAGAATTGGTCGGTTCGGCGGGGTGAACAAGATATTAGTGTATAGCTAAGATTTATCCGTAAGTTGGGCTAATTCGGTCCTATTTGGAAACAACATGGTGTGTGTTGCTAACTTGGGCAAGCATAATACCCCTCCCCCCCCCCCCCCCAAAAAAAAGAAGGAGAAATATCCGCTCTGCCGTCCTACTTTACTGAGTTCGCAGAATATAATCATGGGTGTCAAATTAAGCATGCTTCCCTAATAACGGATTTACCTGTTACGAGTTGAATTTAGTGGTCAAGAGAGAGGATGCATACATTTAGCTGTTGCTATGACGACACAAAATGCATGTAAAGTGCATATTTAATCAAAAATGATCAAGTTAGATTTGAAAGTGATTGAATTGGTCCCGTAACTGATGAGTTTTAAAACGGATCATAGTGCGTATATTGACAATGCAGTTTGCGTTTCACATTTCTCTTTATATCACTAAAATTTAATTTAAACGCATGTTTACTTATTTAGTTTTAGTCATCCATAAATTTCAACTTACGTAAAATCATTGAAGTTAGAGACAACAACTCATTACGCAGGTGTTGACGAGAGGCGGGAAGATGTAGGGAAATAACAGTGGTTTACCATGTGTGCGTATACGTGGAAAGGTTGGGTAAGTTGTGCATGGTTACCTAGAAACGGCAACATAATGAAGACGGAAATGAGCATCCATGTGGCCCATTTAAGAAAACGAATCCCGTATATCACGGTAAAATGGGAGAAAATCTCAGGACCAAAATTATTATTTTCATTCTGCAAACTTACAGAACATGAAAGTTAAAGATAAACTCCAGTACTGGTCAAAAAAAAAAAATTAATTCTCACAGAATCAAACGAAACTTACACTGAATGTTCAAGCTTACAAATAAATGATATGTGCCAAACAATTTTGGAAGAAAATGTATACTGGCTGAGTAATGAGCATAGAAAGACAAGGAAACCAAGGTAGTACCATCCCCGACACGATGTGTGTTGTCCCATATATAGCTTTCTATGTGAGTGTTTGTTACTTTACCAAGACTCGGTCAAATTTATTATGATTTTGATGACTCCAGAACCTTGCAGTGCACACCAATACTTACATGCTACATGATCAACTGTTTCTGATCCTTTCACACCTTTTCTTTCACAATGCAATCGCATTACCAGTACTAAAGTTTAGCTTTAACATGGTCATACAGAACCCGTCGTCTCTGCCCGATGGAGCGAGCGCGAGACACGTCTGAGTAGCAATGGCATTAGTAAGACTTTTCGGGTCATCGATGGATGCCGTGCACTTTTCCTGTCAATCTCTGTGGTCTTTAAACCTCAGGAAAGAGCTCTCGAGAAGTGATCCTGCACCTTTTAAAACTTAAAACAAACATATCCAGGGAACGCGACAAAGTGCGTCGTTGTAGAGGAACTTGAAAGTGTTGGTTTGCCTGAAGTTACAAAATGGAGCATCCGATTCGAGAACTTTTAAATTTTACAAACTTAAACAAATCCACACATTCATTCATTCAATAGCAGACGACAATTAACAGGCAGATTTAAGAGAACTATCAAATGATATGAGTGATTACTTGAATATTTTACATATTTTAATGTTTATGACATTTTTGGCAAACTGACCATGATCATGATGATAAGTATGTCAGAAAACACTTTCTATTCATGTAAACATTTATCAGACCTTTGAACGCATGGCGGGAATGGATATGAAGTTAATAACTAGGCCTATAGATGAAATGGCGCAGATTATTTCGGCCACTAGGTTAGATCGGTACCAGGGTCATTGAACCCCATTTCATGTTAATGACTTTATTAACAGCTCACCTGTGTACCATGACATCCATTGTAAACCTTCATCATAAATCATCAAAACTCGTTCTAGAATACGATTAAAACGGGGGCATTGAACCCCCCAGATGATCCTACATATATCATAACAGCCAATATCATTACCCGCTCGTTACTTTAATCCCTCAAGTGTGGTCTCACGAACTCTTTTGTCCTTACTTTATGTCTGGCCATCCAGGCCTTTGACTGCCCGCCCATTATGGATTCAAGGTTCCAAAAAATGTTTTTCGCGGTGTCGCACCTTGCTATTGTTAGCGTCAAACCGCGCAATTTCACATTTCGTTTAGTTTTCTGAAAGGCCGAAAGTCGCCATTTTGCATCGAATACATCAAATTGCCATCGCGGAGGACTGTATTCTATAAGAGAAGAAAATAGGTATTCAAGTTTTCGTCTTGGCATCATGTATTTCCCTCTGTAATGATAATGTAATTGGATAGCTTTATTTTTTTTCTTCAAAACTTGGAAAAGCAAGATTATCATAATTCACAAGTCAATTGCATTTAAAAAAGAAAATGGATGAAGAGCTAATATACATATTTGAAATTTTTTATTTTACTATTATTTTATTCATAATTTTTTTTATTTTCATTGTTTCTTTGTAGATATTGGCAATTACGCGACGGTTAAACGACTATCAAAATTTTTCCGGTTCGACCTCACGAGTTTCGAAGAGGACAGCCAGGGTGACGAAGTGACAGAGGCCGAGTTCAGACTCTACCAAGTTCCCAATGAAATGAAGGATACAGAACAACAAATCGACCTCTTTCAACTCATAACATCCTACAACAGTACAGAGGAACCGACCAGGCGATTCTTAACGAGCTGGACGGTATCGACGACTAGGGAAGGATGGCTCGCGCATGACGTCACCGATGTCGTGAGGGAATGGGTAGCTGATCCAGGTTAGTCACAGTGAATCAGTACACATTTAATTCAATTTGGTTTATTGATCAAAATAATTCTTTGTAAAACAGTCCAAAGACTGAAACAAACAAAGTTTACATAGTTGCATTATTTCGAATTCTTGACATAAATACGATACGCTCGCTCAAATTGACATGGAGTAGAAACTGCAATAAGACATGAAGACGAGCATACATTTTAGACGTGAGTATAGCATTGACAGAGAATTAGGAGCGTCGCTTGAAATAAGGGGGCGGGACGGAGGGCCGTATAACCAAATATTTTCAAAAGTTTTATCAAATTATATTCCAACCAACACTTTAACAATTAAAAATATTACAGAAGACAAGTTCTCAGATTTTGCCGAAATAGAGAGGAAACAAATTAAGCATTATTTTATTGACATTATTGGGATTTATCTAGAGTTTTTATTGGGGTAAATGATTATTTATTTTACTTTAAATACCTTTATGTCTTGTCATACCGGAATCACTAGAGAAGATGTTCTTTGTCCTGCAAAAAACCCAAAATGTAACTTAGAAATATTTAATGATATAGGTGAGAATGATTTAACATCAATAGGTCACTTTCAAAAGATCCGGCGTGTGTAATAAATAATATAATTCCGCTCAATGTCGTTTCAATAGATTCTTTGAATCATTAATGTTGCGTGAAGTCATTTGATATATAGACAAGGTGAAACTGAGTGACCCACTTTTGTCGATGGGAAAATGATGAGATTCGTAATTCATAGAGGTTAGAACCGAGCAAACAAATAAACTCGTAAATTTCCATTTGTCTCCGAAGAAATATTTCCCCTATGATTGAGCCCAAGGAATATTTTTTTGGTAAACATGACTGCTATGGCCTATATTTCACAATTAATGATGTTTCAAGGAACATTTCGTTCACAAAATAAAAACGGGAGTTGCCAAAGTTCAACAAGCACATCTCGATCATTTCAATTATGTAAAATGTTTTCTTGTTCCGACTTTTCAATGATTTTTTTTTCTTTCTGACTTCTGACATTCTACATTCGTCTGCATTTTCTTTGCACCTCTTCATTGTGCACTTCAATTCGAACAATGAAATTTTAAAGCACATTTTCTTCATAAATCCTATATAATTTGTACACTTTGCCATTGGCTTCAGCTCACGTCTATGCATTACGATTGTCACCATTCACAAACACAAGGCATCACAAAGACAAAGAATGTGAGCAAAGGTATGACGGAAGAGGGAGGGGGCAGGGCGGGGTCAGCCATCGTAATGTTTGTCTGACGATGGCGCGACGCTGATTGGTCGATGCCCAGGGGACCACGTGGTTTTGGAACATGACCAAGTCACGCCATGGCTGCTGTCTGAGTAATTGGTCTGTTTATAACAGACTGCGTCTCAGCTCAGACTGCCAGCAATCCGCGTTCATTACTCATCTTGCTATTTGTGACGACACGATCTCTGATGACAGCGACGTGTCTAGCTACCGATTGGTCTACCCATGGTTGGATAGCAGTGAATGGGGGATCCAAAAAGGCATCTACTGAATGGAAAGATATCGTACAGACTGGTATCTTAGCTTCTTCTAGTCCTGGGTGGGATGAGATGTCGTCCTTTTCGTCATCAAGTCTTTGTCTTGTGAATTAAAGAAAATGGAAATGAAAGAAAAAAAAAATCACCAACCTAATGTACAAGTAATTATCATACGGAGTACAGAGGATCTCTTTGTTATTGAAAGAAAGATGCAGAGCACAGAGCTCGACCCCCATCATGCCCATCTCTTCCGTCAGACTAAAATTAGAAACATTCTTGATTCTTTGGGAGGTCTTTGGTTTGCCACTTCCTGTGGTCTGGTATGTGTCTTGATGTTAGTGATGCTGGATTGGTGACAGCTGAACAGGGGTAACCCCCTCCCTTTTTACTCGATGGTGTCACGTGATGGCATGTTTATCTCGGGGCGTTCAGGGGGTTTCCTGGTCAAAAGTCTAACTAGTTGTTCACCGTTATCTATCCGCGGTTAAAGACTTGATTTGTTGTTTGTCTAACCGCATTGAGATGCGGCAGGTGAATCATATAGTGATGTTTTCTCCATCTCACAAATTATCCGTTTCATAACGGAAATCCGAGGAGGAGGTTAAACCAGTGGCGTATCCATGCATCAATAGACGGGACAGAAGGAGGAGGTTGGGGGCTTAATGTATGTGATCAGTCCCCGTGTGTTGTTAACCTACTGTCAGTTGTATTTAGTAATTTACCTGTGCCTATAAACGAGGGCGTAAATCAGCTTCCCCTACTCATGATACGTCATTATAAACTAAGAATACTAAAAAGGAAGGAAACACTTTCTTCTCCTTATTATCAAAGACCGATGGTATCATACTAATAAACATCTCCAAACCACCAATCAAGTAATCTGGTCTTTTCAAACACATCTCCTGATAGATACCCTGTATATACCACCACAACAACCACCACCATCTCCGCAAACTCCCCTTGGCCGTGAGAAAATTATTCCTCACTGTTGGGATCCTTAATCGGCCTCTCGAAACAGTTATTGAAACATGCGATTCCTTCGCTGCTGTTTCGGGGCGATGTCAGCAGGATCCGAGTGACAATGGAAATTATTCATAATGGACCCGCGGATATTTTTATCAAGTTATGTAAATCAACAGTGATGCCACGAGGTAGTCCCAGCGCAGGTGAGGCTCGCTTATAGGTGTGCTTTGTCCCAGTTCCCTACTTCGACTTCTTGTTAAGTCCAGAGCGACGGGATGGAAAAGGTTGAAGTAGGTAATTTTAGGTATGTTAAAAGCTGGACTTTGAGTGTTGTATAGAATTATGAAATGTATGAAAAATTTGAAGAAATAAAATGAAGAAATAGAAGGAGCAACTGGCAGAGACTTGGTTATCATAACACCGAGTACGGTCTGGTTAATATATATCATGTCTCTCAAAATCATTTTCTCATGCAGGTTTTGTGATCTATTTTGGTTAGGTCTATATTGCCATTTCAACCAAATTTTGTTAATGATTTCACAAGTAGTGCATAAATAATGTCCACCTTTCGACTAAAGATTTGTATTATTCTGCTCTCCAGTTTGGAAGAATACTTAGAGGGGTATGCTATACTTTCACCCATTCCTGCAATTAGGGTTCAGGAAGGTCGATGGGTTTAGGCCAATCATAGCAGCTATAATGCAGAAGAATGACTGTTTGCTCGTTAGTCCATGTGCCTCTCGTCAAATCTTTATATAAACATCAAATAAATATAAAATTAAATCAAAATGGGTGACGAAGAATGACGTCAAGAAGTTGTTATGGAACGAGTCGTGGTATGTCTCGTGATTCACCATGAGCTTCGAACTATGAACTCATCGGGTCAAGTGTGGTCGGCGGACGGGTACTGGGAAATCCCCCAATTAATCGGAAAACGGCTGTCGTCTGTAGATTGTCACTATCCCATTATGTCGTTTGACAGATTCATCACTAGAAACTTAGAATCACTGGTATAGAAGTAGTATATTGTCATGATGAGCGTTTCGAAAGTAATTGCAGGTAACCTGACACAATACAGTCCGCAACCAAAATCAGAAATTTCGTATTAGCTATACTATAAGTTTGTGCATGGGCGTGTATTTCATTTTATAGGGAAATGAGAGTAAGATGTTAAGACATAGAGATTTAGTACACACACTAAAAAGAGAGGATGAGGAGACAAAGGCTAATTTAAAACACAATCCAAAAAGTCTGTTTAAAAAAAGTAGAAATCGGAACATATTATTAAATGCGAGACGGGACACAATCAATATGTGTCAAGCGTCTGTAAATTGTGATATCAAAATATTTGAACACCGATTTTGTAAAGGCCAAATTGACACGTCTTGAGGCATACTGGGGAAGGCCGGACGGAGCTCTTTGGAAAGCAATCAAATGGAAAATCAGTCCCAATTTCTGCTTTATTTTTCTCACCTCCGTCCAGTGATGTCTACCGCATTTATTTAAAAAAGACACAGGACTGCTTTCTGTGCAATGCATATCATACGCCTTTTGTATAGTCTGTCAGTATAATTGATTATGTACAGGAATTTTAGAATTTCCCTTAAATGTTGAAGGTTTGTTTCTAAATACGTGTTCATTACAAATGTAGTAAATCCTGCTCTAAAACTTATGAAAAAAGTATAATATGTACTGGTCAACATTCTAAATTTTTTAAAGTTTTTTTTATAAGAATACCTAAGACATGTCCTCTCTGATTAGTATTGCCAATGTGGGATTGTTTCAGAACTATAACGTTATTCAGAACGCATGGAACACTGTCTGAATGACGTTGTGGTTGAATCGCAGTGAGTGAAATAATGCATTTCCGAAGTTTTGCTAAGGGATCACTTCTCGTTTCCCGCCAAAGGATTTGACGTCTCAAGTACCACAAAGTACAAGATCATGACCTCTGAAGAATTTGTTTTCTTCATCCTTTCGGTTTCCACGGGGATATGAATATATAAACGGAAATATCAATTCAATTGTTATTAAGTTTAGGCTTTTATAGCTGTTTGAATTTTAGAAGATCGATAGTTCGTTAGTACAAAAAAATACACAATAAGGATTTTGTTGGTGTATGACAATACATGACTAGTGTAACTGCTCAGAATGGTGTAAATGGATGTAATATTACTCAAACATACAGTGGAAAGAATATGCATGTGGGCCTAACGTGCAAGAGGCAAATACATGTTTACAAAATCAATATATGGGCCAACAAGGTTAGAAACCCGGATCGCAAACCAAAGCATAAACAAAATGTTGAAGAATTATTTATGTAACTCATCTTCTGTCGAAAGATGACATTATGTATCTTATCAACGAAAATAAAAACACGCAGGCTCATTTTTCCTCAAACACACAACTTTGACAAGACATGGGCATTTTCTGCCAAATCACTGTTATTTTTGGAAATCATATCGAAGCGGTATTCCTAGAGTATGACTTCGCTAAAAACTTATCAAATTTGCCACAAATAAGGATGCTTATTGCCGCATCTGCTTCCGACCTTTTCGGAAAGTAGTGTCAATGTCAATGTGACATCAAGGTCATCTGTCCTAATTACCGTCTTATTTTGTGCTCTTGAAAGAGCATCCCTGAAACGAGGTTATCAATGAGAAGAAGATGGTGAGCGTAGAAAGATGATGAAAAGTTTTTATAACCAAATTAAGGTATTCTGATAAGCAGATAATATTAGGACATTCAGATACAGAGAGGGAAAAAAGGGGGATGGGGAGATATTGTAGATTGACAAGCATACTGTCAACGTATTTGGCATATTCCTTCAGCTATACTCATTATCATGAATAGTGCTTATAAACATTAACAGAACGCGTAATTACTGTAGTCGGAGGCTTATCGACGGATGATATTTTGTTCATTATTACACTCTGACAAGTACATTGATCCAGTACACCACATGTGTAAAATAATGTCGTTAATACAACTATTCGATTTACCAAAAAATACCCTCTCTTATGAATTTCATTCACGTCTCCGGTTTGTTTATTCGTTTTTTTAATAATGTATGTTTGTCTGCGGATGCCAACGTTAATATGACTATAAAGATAAAGGATAGCGTTATTGTTTGCTTAATGTGTACCACAATATTTTTTAAAATCTCTAATCTCTAAAAGTGCAATGGTTACATCGATATTCTCATTTTCCTTACTAGGAAACATAGAAAGGCCGGACTCTTACAGATATTTGTTATTGTCTCGACAATCTTTTTAAGTAGGTCTACTTGAATTGACATTTGAGGTAGATTTATTCCACATATCAAACAACAAAGGACATCGATCAATAAAGACAACATAATAATTTACTAAAAAACCCACAAAATATTAACTTTGAACAACATAAAAAATTAATGACAAAGACAACAAAACTATACTGTGGTATAAAACAAAAAATAATTCAATTTGTAAGGGAATGACAAATGCAGCAGTTATTCATTGAACAAAATATTAGCCTTTACCTCTTTCGAAACTGTGCCACTGACTATTTTTTTGGATTAGACATTCCCCAGGCTCGGTTAAACTGTCACAGTCACAATGAAACAATTTTCTTTAAAAATGAAGTTAGTATTCATGGACAACTTCGTGACGTCAAGAGCAACTTCTTGAATTTATTATACCTTCTTTCCCTTCACCCTGTCCTCCCCCCCCCCCTCTCTCTCTCTCTCTCTCTCTCTCTCTCTGTTCAAGAAATGATGGCATTGACCCATGCCCTCCTTCTTTATTTTGGGTCAAAACCTCGCAAATATGGGAATTCATGTGTACTTTTTGATGCGCAAAATACATATTTCAGCAGCTATTTAATGTGTGTTTTGGGAATAAGCAATTCTGCTTCGTTGACTGAACGAGTCGTACAGGTGCAATGCCGTGTCACGATAAATTGCGTGCACAAAAATAAATTCAGAGAGAGAGAGAGAGAAGAAAAAAAAAGAGTGGAAATGTGTTGACAGATTTTGCATGAAATCTATGTGAAACAAAGCCAAGTTATGGAAGAACACGTTTTATCATACTTATATAAATATTTAATGTCTGCGAGTCACCATTATTACTTTGCTCTTCATTCTCTTATCTGTATATTTGCGGTGTTAACTTGAATTGCTATAGTAAAAGCAAACTTCTACGAAAGACTATGAAAATGAGCGTCTTGTAATGATCAAGTAATACACAGGTATCATTATTTCACAATTTAAATGACAAACCAATAGTAAATTATTATTTTACTTGTACTATGAGAGGCAGGGGGTGAGTGCATAAAACTAGCCAAGACATAGCTTGCTATAGGCTTTTTCTTCCTATGAAAGATACAGAAGGCATTCGAAATTGAAGATGCAACGAAATATTGGAAACCAATGGCTAGTGTTATGTATTCGGCCAATACCTGTACCGAAAGCGATACGTTCAAGTCCATACTGTATACTTACGATTCTTCTCTCGTTTCTCTTTCTGTTCCTATCATCCGTTGTCTAGAAACGAACCTTGGGTTTGAGTTGAACCTGAACTGTGGTGACTATCTGCTTGGACCCACTACCACTACACCAGCTTCCATCCCAAAGGACCAGCATAAACTACACGTCTTGTTTGCAGGTAAATTAGTGAAGACTTTAAACTGATGAATATCTTTAAATCAACAGAAATTTCCTGTAGTTACGCTGGATATTGTAAGAGATTGTTTTTGTGCAATAGTTTTGTTTTTTCTTTCGTAGTGTATGATGTAATGATTACATCTTTGTCAATGGCTTGTTGACGAATTATAACATTCACCTGTTACAATGTGTTACATTACAAAAGTCAGAATACAGAGTGCATACATTGTGTTTTGTTTAGTAGGACAGATTGGCCGAATTCACAAAGGAGGTTTGTCGACAAACCTAGGTTTATGTGCGTCATGTGACGCGTTTCGACGCGTTTTTTTTTTTTAACAAATCTGGTTTGTCGACAAACCTCCTTTGTGAATTCGGGTCAATCTGTCCTACTAAACAAAATATAATGTATGCACTCTGCATTCTGACTTATGGAATAAAATTGGAATACAATTTAATACAACAGCTTGTGAATTTAGGTTGTCGATAGTTACCTAACAAAAATGTATGCATTAAATTGGAGTAAGGAAAATCATGACGGTCCGATCGAAACGCGTTTTTTTTTTCTTCTTCAAATATAAAGTTCTTGATGCAGTCACCGACTGGAAGGCTATATGTATTCAATTAAACTGAAGTCAATAATAATATCGATGGAATTATACTAACCGCGGACTCCTCAAAAGCGGAGACAATGTTGTTTGCACAAGGCAACACAGCCAAATCTTAATGGGTTCACGGTTCACCATGAATCAAAATTCAAACAAACAATACAATCTCTAGCAAGTCATGGTTGAAATAGAGCTTTTATTCATTGTATAGATAATAATGATGATTATGATGATCTTTTGCTCAATAAATTCATCATTTTGTCTGGCTTGTATTGATTTAATGGTAACGTGGTTATAATTGATTCGTTTCAGACCCCAGAGGTACCTTTCCGAGTATGGATAATGGACGTGGCGACGGCAACCCTAGAGGTGAAGGATTCCCCAGTATCAACCATCCTAGATTGGTCGTCATGACCCCTGCCAACCATTCACGAGGAAGCGAAAGCAACAGCGTCCGAAAGCGACGAAGCACCTCGTACAGCGGCTCCCAGTGCGACCAGAACTCACCCAACTGCTGCCTTCGCCCGCTCGTCATCAACTTCAGGCGCGATCTCAAATGGAACTGGATCCGACAACCCCGCAACTATTCGCCAAACTTCTGCGCGGGATCTTGCCCCTATATCCTGAGTGCCGACACGTCCCATGCTTCAGTTCTATCGCTTTATAAACATCTCAATCCGGACGCGAGCCCCTCGCCATGCTGTTCTCCTCAAACATTCAAACCTTTAACCATCCTTTTCTACAACAGAGGGCGTCCCGAGATCAGGCAACTTAATAACATGATTATAGAAACTTGTAGATGTAGCTAGTCCCAGATATTAGAACAACCAAACTACTATGACGTAGAAGGACATGAAGTTGTTGTTGGATCGTGCAGGATGGTCCAGTGTAAATTAAAACTCTATTTAAAACAAGAAAACTTTTGTGAGGTACTACTAGATGCTTTGGCCTGACTGTGAACTATGTTGTGCTTTCTACAGGCTAAACTGCGCATCATATTGGACACCAACCCAGATGTGCTGAATGTGATGTCATATGCAAATGACTTCATTGTATCTAATTTTCTCTTTTTCTATATATTAAAAAACTGTACTATTTATCTTTATTCTATTTGCCAAATCATATGAAGTAATGTTTTGTGGCACTTCATGAACTGATAATATGTTATGAGCAAAAGACTATAGTGTACTAATGCATTTAAGATTGTATGTTTTCTCCTTGAACAATAGTGCTCTTGATTGTCATGAAAAATGTACTGTTGCTACGTCGGGCCCTCCGAAAAGGTTCCTGGTCATTATTTTATAGACATGTAGCAAACTTTCTTTAGAAATGATGCTCTCCATCTGAACCTGTTCGTGAATAGATTTTGTGAGTAGCGAGTATGTCCAGTCGTGTGCAGACGGCGAAGCAGTGCCGGTTGTGGAAGGTCGTTTCTTATACATTTTATAGGATTATTTGAGCAGTATATTACAGTGGCATATCCAGAAAAGAGGGGAGGGGGTGGGGGGGGGGGGCTTAATAGAAGGGAGTGGACATACGCCGGCCCCACCCTGTACTGGATACGCCACTGTATATCACTCTGGACAGAGTTCTGCATAACTAGGTAAAATTCTCCTGTGAAGTTTGTCGAAATCGTTTAGCAAATCGTGATGTGCTAAGCTCTGGTATATATTATAATATGCTAAAGGACGCGACACAACTTGTGTTTTGAATTATGTTATAATATATCTTTAAAAAGGTATACTGCATGGAGGTTGAATGTATTTGTCTTTCACTGACAAGCATTAACATTACATGAAAAGGGAACGAAGAGTGGTCTTTGAGAAATTCTTACAAAGAAAAGAATTTTCAAGATATGTGGTCTTTATGCGTATGCACCATCCTTAGGGGCATACATCCGTGTCAGAATGGTATTGGAGATTAATATCGGTTTTGAAGCATATAATTATGCTGTCTAGTGGTGTGTCTAGAATGTCATGAAGATTTTGAAATCATTTGGTGGGGGTGGTACAACTACCCGAACATATTTGTAACCCCGTCTATAGATAAGCACAGTTTTTACGCGATATGATAAAAGATTTCTAGTTTAGACAACGAACAAATTGTGAAATGCTTTACCATATTATTACGTGCAGATAAAAACACTGTATATGGACATCATTGACAGGTGGAGTGGGAAAGAGAGTGTGTGTGTGTGTGTGTCAGATAGAGAGAAAGAGAGAGAGAGAGAGAGAGAGAGAGAGAGAGGGGGAAGGTAAATTAAGAGAAAGAGAGATGTAGGGCCTAGGGGCAGGGGAGACATAACTATATGGAAACATATTTGTAGGAGGATCTGGCATTTGGTAATCATAAGAAGATAATACAAATCGATTATGTGAATGCTCTTGATTCGGGACGTTTTAATGGAGGTTGGGGTGGGGGGGGGGCGGGGGTTCCCTCTCAATTGTTCGTATTCAAAATTACGGTTAAATAATCGGCAATTTCACAATATTTACTAATTCTAGGATGTTGTCATACTTCGAGGAAAATTTGTCCAATCAGCGAAGATGATATATTGCAGAATATTTTTTTTCTTCAACGGATATTCAAATTTTAGCCAGTAATCCCTCCCTCCCCCTTATTATTCCAGTGATGCCTCCGTGGTGAAATCCTGGTGTAGCTGTCCATCCGAGTCTATATTTAAATGGAATGATGGCATCTTCTTCTTTCTTTGAAGACGGTATTATTAAAAAGAATAATCTTGAAGTCATTCCAGAAAAGTATGTTTGATATAGTGTTAAGCTCGTTTGATAGCGCATGCTTGGAAACTTAATTAGAGCTCATCTTCATATCAAATAGGTTTGTGCATATAATGATTATTTGCATTTATTTTAGATTGGACTATATAGTTTGTGCTCTGCCTGCTATAGCAACCTGTTTTAGACTAGAAAAAAAAACACGAAAATGTGAAACAATTCTTATAGGTCACAAGATTTGTTTTCTTCATTTCTCATTTTCCTTGACAAACTGGATCGGTGCATGATTTGCGTCAATATTTACGTAAAGTTGTTTGTACCTTAAAAAAGATTCAATTTTAACTCGAAAGAGATATTCTGTTGTTCGCGGTCACATGACTTTGAATCGACAGTCAACCTTATACGTTGAACGATTTCGAATTTTGATTATAAAATCGAATAAAAATTACTCTGTGTGTGAGAATAGCTTCTTTGTACATGTACATCTGAACGTATTTGTATAGGAAATAGATGGTTAAAATAAATTACTTCACAACAGGCTAATCTAACAGGCAGAAAATGACATGTTTTACGAAGGTTGTGTGAAAAGCTCAGTTGTGTACCCTGCCGCGTTCGTCAAGCCAGATTTTTCTTTTGCTCAATTCTTGTCTTGTAGTCCAATCAAATCTAAAGTCTGTTAATTATCCTCATGCATTATGGTAAATTGATTGATTTGTTAAGAAAACATGACCAAGATGTACGAGGATCATGAACGATTCGTAAAATATTGTGGTATCTGATGCCAGTGGTAACCAAATGATGTAAATGCTGTTTCAGAATTATGAAAGGTACTATGAAAATTTTCAAGTTGAATAATGTGAATGCTTGAAATATGCACAAATCTGTCTTAAAATGCTTGCAAAAAACAAACATTGGATTTATAGGTAAAAATATTGAATAAGTGTTCTGCTTTATTGATCATATACTGCCCATTAATGGACCGACTTTCTGATTTTTCCACTAAACTGTTATAAATCACAAGCACATTTTTACCTCCCCCCCCCCCCCGCATCTTAGTTGCTCTTTGTGGTTTGCTTCCAATACTGGAACTCGCTAAGTTCTTGATATACATTGAAGACAAAAAAGAAACACAAAATTGTATTTTTTCGATCTAATTGAAAAGCATTGTGTTTTTTTTTTTACGAGTAATAGAACGGGACTTTTTTCAAAAGAGTATTACTGTAGATAGAAAAGTTATCCCGCGCTTCTGCTTTGTTTGCGCGCGCAAAATATACCTTCTGCCGAAAGTAGCATACTCCTAAATATCTCATTTGCTATAATACTTCATTCTTGTGTCTCCTTTTATAATGTGTTGTGTTTCCACAATTCAATTTTAAAAGAAAAATCTATGGCGTTGTGTGATTCCTGCTTGTGATATGGTTCCCATAGGGATATAGATATTATGTAATATTTCTTATTATTAATGTACATCTTGAAATTGTTATTAAAAATTAATGTCAGTCAATGTACTATAAATGAAAAGTCGTCCAGGCTGTTTTTTAAATTAAATAATGCAGATTGAAGAGGAAACGAGGGAGAGAGAGAGAGAGAGAGAGAGAGAGAGAGAGAGAGAAGGGGCTGGGGGGGGGGGGGGGGGAGGTTAATTCTTGTTAAAGGGAAATCCAACCCAAATAGATGACTACTCTGAAGCAAACTGATGGAAGTTTCAATTAAATCTGACTAAATAGAAGAAATGTATAATTTGTTGAAAGTTGAAATCTACTCATTCCAAGGGTTCGATTGCCCTTTTAAGTGCTTATAACCTTGGGCAGGTTGTTTTGCAACGAAGAGCTGTACGATTAATGTGTCTCTACGCTGGGTCGATAAAACAACATTATTATTATGATTACTACAATTTCCGAGAAAGAAATGTCAAACAAGGCTCAAGGCAAATAAATTAATTGAATGAATTGATGCTCATCTCATGGAACAATTGAAATAAGTTGATACAAGAAATGCTAAAAGTAAAAAACTTGATAGGTTGGGAACAAATAAAAGGGAGAGCACTAATGAAATGAATAAACATTGACCAAAATAGCATGCGTTTGTGGTTGAGAAATTTGAACGAAACATTGACCAAAAGGTTAATAGAGTGACATACTTTTTGATGACAATCACATTGTAAGGTAGCCTAAAGTGCAAGGACACATTAACCAATTACCTACTCTTTTAAAATACTGTAGGAACCACCCCATAACTCACATCATTGAAACTTTCATGTGATGATTATCATCAGAGTAATACCAGTGATGCATGATTCCTTTGATTTTCATTCATGAGAAATATTTGTTGAAGTTGTAAGAAGGCATTTTCAAGGTGATGTGACATATTTGAAGATACTTTGTTTAGTTACATGTAAGTGTGTGTTGGAGGAAAATATGGCATATTCTGTTTTCACACCATTGATTCAAAATGTTAGAAAGGGTGACAACACTTGTTAAATACACCTTCTAACACTGACAATTCCAACAGTTATTCAGCGCTATTCAAATCTGCACACTACTTTGCAATCAGCATACCACAATTGACAAATCTGTGAACATTTCCAGAAAAACAATTCACTTTCAACACACATAAAAGACATGCACAATAAAACACTTGGACACATCAATCAAGTTTCATTTTCTAAACAATATATTTCATTTCAAGGTTTATTTTTCAATAGTTGAATCTGGTTATAGATGGATCAAAGAATGATAATTTGATACAATTTTCAAGAAAAACATATCATACACACAAATATCACACCTTTCTAAATGTACAATATAAAACAAAGGTTATAAAAAGATATAAATTTATTTTACATATAAGTAGTATGACGCATTACCAAAACAATGTTGTTTCTACAAACTGTTACAGTTTTTAAAGCATATCTTCAAAAATGATTGTGTAAAACTGGAGGAGCATGATCTCTGCCAATCAATGTTTTCACCTTAATACGGTCACAAAGACTTTCAAGAAATAAAATCAAGGGCAATTTTAATACCCTATTGTATAAACCATAGAAATAATGTTTGGATTACGTAATACATCATTGTAATCTTTGCACATTCGATAGATGATGGATAGAAAGGATACTAATATTACCTTGGGTTGATTTTCTTAAGTCTTTGTGATTGTTTTTGTTGTAGAAAAATAATGATCATAAAATAATTCCTAAAAACAAAACCTGGAACATACCTATCTTAAACATATAGTGAAATTGTGAATGGTTGGTTCTTCACCAAGAAAGTAAGGAGTTTAATCAGAAGTCACTTGATAACAAATCAGCAACTCTTCAGGGTATATTATTTAAGATGTAAAATCAAATTTTGATTACTAAAAAATAAAACCAAACCGTACTATCCCACTGGAGAAAAAAAGAAAGCAGCCATCAATCAAAATTGAATGATTATAATGATTCTCTTGACAATTATTATGATAGCTGTATCATAATAAATCATAATGAATATTAAAATCTGACAAGTTTTGATGTAAATAATCTCTGGTAGTTACCAATTTGGAGCAGCGGACTATGGACACTTTTTCTGATTGAGGTTTCAGAAGTGCAAGACTATATTACATATAACAGGACAGCCATAACACTTTACCATATGAATACATCTAAGAAGCCATGGATGGCGGCTGTTAATATACACAAGCTGATAAAAACAACTTTCTCTCTAAAATATAAAAATATTTACCTTCTAAATAGTTTACAGCTCTTAGAAAGACACCGACCTTATATTATACATCAAACAAAAAGGCCTCTGTAGTCAATAAAAAGTTAAGTTAAGTTGGCACACAGATGCAATATATAATAAATAGTGAACAACACACATGAAATTAACAAAACTCCACTCTGATATACCCACTCCTTCCATGAAAAAAAAGAGAGTACAAGACATATAAAATAAAGATATCGCTCCCATCTTGTACCAGATGAAGCATTGGAATGTACGGTGCACACATTGAAAAAGTTATACCGGTAGGTAAATAGAAAACTGGCATACAGATTTCTTTCATGACAAACAAAGGATGTACAGGTTTCAGTGGAAGATACATGTATGATGTCTACATTCTAATTTCATAGATTGAAATTATTGCTCTGAAATCAATCTGCATTAAAAGTTTAATTGCTAATTTTTTTTCTGTCTTAAGGCACACTTTTACTTGTCATGGCAACTTTAAAAACGCTCCAAGTACATTTTATTCTACAAAGAATACAAGTTTGCCGTTGCTGAAAGCCTCATGGTAGAAATTCACAGACCATTGAATGGTGAAATATAAAACAGTGGAAATCAACTTTGTGACATGAATGGAAGATTTTTAAACAGAGCAAGATTTTTTGGCAGTGCAAAGGAATAGTATTAAGAAATCTCTGTATCAATCTTCAGTTTCATTCTATTGTTATTTTTCTATATTTAAGGCTTTTGAATTTGATCAGAATATGTTTATTGATGAAAAATATCCAGACTAAGGGATTAATCTACATTAGCCTCTCCAAAACCATGTCAAGTATTACTGAGTGAAACTGTTCACTCATAATCAGTATTGGCCAAGAAAAGAGAAATTCCCAGATGGCACCTTTCCTCTCTTCTACATCAAATTTATATTCCTACATATACTATAACATAGATTTTTAAATTCCAATTTCATATAATTTAACTTCCTCATTTAAGTTCACCGGTACAGTTTCACACATTTCCCTTAAAGGTATAGCAGCAAGGATATCTCAAAAAAGCAAAGACTTTTGTGACGTGGTACATTTTTCTCTTACCAACTGATATTGTGTGATTTTTCAAGGAAATACTATTGAATCAAGACCTAAAATAGTTCCTCTGAGGGTTTAAAGCTTACTTCAAGTTATATACCTTGCACACAGAAGCAGATGTATATTTGTGCTCTCTTATGAAGAATCCAGCCCATGGTCAATGACGTATCACTTGTGCTTGAATAGAACCTGAAAGGATGAGAGAAGAAGAAGAAAAACAAAAGGGAAAAATTGACTTGATTATTCATGAAAACTGTGGCTGTTCCAGAGAGATTTTACGATGTATCTGTAAGTAAATGTGGAGAGAAAGAGAGGGAGGAGGGGACAGAAGAAGGGACAGAAAGAGAGAGGATGGAAGAGAGAGAGAGAGAGAGCAGACAAATCTTGATTGAAAGAGCATGAGAAAAATGAAAGACTGCATAATAAAGAAATACACGAGTGGAGGGAAAAAGAGACAGAGAAACAGAGGTGAAGGACGAAAGAGATAGAGACATGAGAGAGAAAGAACATGAAGGAAAGAATGAGAAGAAGACGGATTCCAAAAATAGCATCACGTTCAGTGAGATGCATATGCCACATTCTCAGACATACTGAGAAAACACAATGTAATTGCGTATTGGCAGACCCCAATAATTACCATCTAACCATCATCAATAGTACATTCACCCCAATTAGATGTCAAGTCTATGTCCCCCCTGCTGCTTTGACTGGTAGACCCTCAGACAACGGGAGATATAGCAAGAGATGGATGGATGGATAGATGAGGCAGAGGTGAAGGGTGATGGAAAATAAATGAAAGAAAACAGAGTGGATGATGTGGTTACTGTGTTTAACTCCAGGAATTTGATGAAACGAGACAGCTTTACAACAAAGGCAAGAAGATGACATGGCTGGGAGACAAGACAAGTTAATTGCTGTTAGTTCCTCTCATCACTTTAGGAATATTCGCTTTTTTTCAATTCTAATTTTATCCAGCAGCCAAAGTATATACTTTTCAAACATGATTTTATTCATGTCAATCATGAAACAAAGAAACACGGATGAATCTACAATAAATTCAAATCTAGGTTATTCCCCTCAATATCATTTATTTTAAAAAAAACACCCAAACCCCAGAACATTACTATAATTCATAATAAAAACAAAAAAGGAAATTCCCAATATTAACACGATGCAAAATATAAAATGCCACAGAACTGTCCATTTTTTTCTTGATAATGGAAACAATTCAACCTAGACTAAACAAAAAGACAAAACAAAAACAACGTTAGTACAATCCCACATTAAACATTTAATGACGACATTGTTTTCTTCTCAGTCTAACATATCAATATTTCCCATTTCTCTTCAAATCTCTGAAATACCGGAAGGTAAATAAATAAATCTTTCTCCTTTTCCTTAACAGCTCATCTCAGGTGTAACCCAATATTCTGTTAGTTACACCATAGCATCCTGAATGTCAAGAGATCATTTCCCTACTCTGTCCTGTTTTGATATGAATACCTGTTTTCTTATTGTCAATATTCCAGTTTTTACGATGGAACAGAGGAAGTGTATTGATATGGACACTCCTTCTCATGATTCAAAACAGACCCAAAACAATGCTAAAAACATGTCTTGATGACCCATAAAATCAAGTGGATGGGAAGTATGATGGCATAAATCAGTTTTAATATTATCAAGTATTAATGGGGCTGAGAGCCAGAAGGCTCTTGAATTTATATCGTCTGTTTGGACTTTGGAGCCAGAAGGGTGTTAACTCATGCCCTCCTGGCTCTAAAGAGACAATATAAAATGATATTGATAGTGAATGCCCTCGGAAGGTGATAACTATAATATAAAAAGCACATTTGCTATCAGGGACAGGAAACTTTCTTCTGCTTGGTACATCTTCTTTCTAAAATCATCACAAAGAATAAAATCTACATGAAAAATAGCGATTTGCACCTTTGTTCACGACTCAAATTGTTCAATAGTCTGCAAGACATTCCTCATGAAATGGTTCATACTGGCCTAGAAGTCATTGCCTCCCAACATCATACTACCGGTCATAAAGAAGGTTGGCAAACTATTTTATCGCTTGTTACACATGTATGAATGTCACACAGATTAGGGTATTGACTGCTAAGAGAAGGTTCCCTATTAACTGGTAAATACGGCTAATTATTGGATGTGAAAAAGATTAAGAAAAACAATGAGTTAAATGGTTTTATATAAAACAGCTGGAGCAATGAAACAAGTAATGAAACAAGAAATACAAATATGGATAAATTTCCTTCTGAGACTGGTCTGCACTATGAACTGACATGATTAACATCATTAAAGCAACTTGACAAGGCAGAACACCTGCCCCTACAATCATCAAACATCAAATGTAACCAATGGGACTACAGCCCACTTCCTCTGGTCAGATTTATGGTAGAAGTCAAAGTTAAAAGGAAAACAAAATCAGGAGCAATGACCAAGGATCGAGTCCCCTTTTTTTCCTTCTTTCATTTTATTTTAGAAATAAACTTGTGTGGTTTTGTTGACACAGTTCTAACACATGTATTACCGACAGATTAACAGAAACACAAATAAAAGGTGACATGTGCGTCTTTAAAGGGAACAACAGCCCGGTTAAATTACCAGGTTTATTTTACTAAAAATGTTCTTGGTACAATAAGGATATGATGAGTGATGAAAGTGCGGTCAGGAAGTTATGATCAGCAATGAAAGTCAAAACCACATCAGATCATACTTATATCAAAAAGATAGTGTAGAATAGACAAACCAGGCAATTATGACTTTAATTTGATTGGTTCATATAGGCAATATATTGTTTACGGAACTTGATACATGAAAATAAAAAGTATGACACATAATTGTACTCTCCTCATTCAAAGCTAGGAATTAAGCGTATGATGGAGTGCAGTGTAAAACACAGCTCATTCATGAAACTATCCTGTAAAAAAATTGCATGGCTCTAAACAATATATCTGCACTGTGAAACACAGAGTTCTTGGATTTGAATATTTAGGTCTGGACCACGAAGCTGTTATTTATTTGGAAACTACATTATTATAACATTAGTGTTTATGTAAGGGAACAAGATTACTACCTTGTTTTTATTATGACATAAGAAGGCACAATAGAAATTTGTTATTTTATTTTTTACTCTCAGTGCATGTACTTCTATTTGCATCAACAAAATATGATGAGAAGAAGAAGAATTTTAAAGTGGTTTCATTGTAGTGTAAAATCAAAAAGAAATCTTCCAGACCAGAGAGAAATCCCTCCAATTCGTTCACATTGAGAAAAGAAATAAATAAAGAGGGCAATAAAAATGGGAGGCAAGAGATGCAAGAGCACCTCCCCTGGGTGAATATATCTGACTAGTAATGCAGTTTTCATTCCCCTCGAGACCCCCCAATACATACATGTCCTCAATCAAGGACGAGGTCCCTAAGCCACACTCAAGTAGGGGTCTTAACTCTTGAGACGGGTACAAATATTGCCTCAAGTCCTTCCAGTTTATGTTCGTTTTAACTCACCAACCTTGTATTGTCCCAGGGATTTACTCTCTAAACTTCAGTCTTATTTGCCAAAGACAATTCAAACCCTCTTTGATATTATCCTGATCCAATTTTTCAATTTTCAGAATTTCCCCCCCTCGCTTCCTCTATTTTTATCTGAATGACTCGAGGATAATGTGTATTGGTTTAAAGGGTGAATTCCTACCTCAAACATCTTTGTATTTGGGAACTGGAAGAAAGGAAACTATTTCGCAATCGTTGTTAAACTTCCCCTCCTTGTTAACAATAGGCATAAACAAAGAAGGATGTGGTTCCATTTACTTTTATTTGAGAGAACATCAAAGTACATATAGACTTAGCATTTGAAAGAAGGTGAAAATAACAGATTCAATAAGTGTCACTAAAAATTCAATTCATGAAGGAATCACTTCTTCAAACAATGAATCTTTGGAGATGTTTGATGTTTCATTTTTCAACCATACTGCAATTTAAAACATGGATGCCTGGCACTCAAGATGAGCAAATATTGAAGGCAGAATGTGAAGGGCAATTCACAAAAGAATATTCCCTACAAAGAAGGAGATCACCAAACAAAACAACAAAAAAAGATCAAGAAGAATAGCAGAGAGAGATAAGTGAAAGAGAAATAAAAAGGGAGATAAAGAGAGAGAGAGAGAGAGAGAGAGAGAGACAGGGAGATGAAGTGGTGAATAATATCAGATAGTGTTGCAGTGAACAAAGGCACGTGATGAGGAGAATCAAAAGGATAGGGGCACTTCTGTATCTATCAAAGCCTGGAGAAACCACAAAGCACTCGCTCATGGAAAAGAAGAAGACACACAAAATGCCTTTAAGGGTGGCCCAGGCAAGCTGCTGGAGCTGGAAAAACAATTGGCGGGTGTTTGGACGAGGATCAGCCATGATTTGCACTGGGGATAGGAACTGGGCCAGCGCATCTGTCCTCGGTGTTACACGCACCTACTTTGTGGGTCACTGGTGTTCATTGACGATCGATGGGGGCCTTGGGGTAAGAGGAGGAGACCCTGGGCTCCCTCTGGGACACACCGACCAGGACCAAGTCAGGAGGACTAGACTGGAAGCTTCCAAGAACAGAATGGGGGTCAGGTCGATACATAGACACCCGGGGCCAGTTTCTCGAAACTGTCATAAGTCTAACTTTGTGGACATCCCGTAGAAACGCATGTTAATTATATAACACAGTTTCAATGGGATGTTTAAAAAGTTAGACTTACGACGGTTTTGAGAAACGAACCCCTGAGGAGCAAGGGCTTCTGGGAAATCTATGGCTCTAGATGGCCTTTGTAACAAGGGTCTGACTACCATGAAGGAGGGAATTGGAAATGTGGTAGGTACGCCAAGAGCAAGATTTAATACCACGCGAGGATGAAGTTGATCTGTGGAATGCATAGATACCACTTATTTATCACCACTCATAATTCAGGAAAGACAGCTTTCCTTTTTCATTAGGGATACATTTTCCTTACACAAGTTAAAGAAAATAATAGATCATAAGTGAAATGGGGATGGGTACCGATTACTGGTAGATATTGAATCTCAAGTTTACAAGGAGAGTCACACTGGTTCAAAAAGCAATATATTCAGTTTCAGTTTCATTTTCAATGTGCAATTTCTTTTCATGCATTTTGCCTCAATCATGCAGTCTAAACATAATCTGATTTATCTCAAGTGTGAAGGAATGTAACTTAATGGAAAAAATGTGACCAGCTGATTACAAATAAGCCTCCTTGTAGTTGTAAAATCCATTTCCTTCAATTACCAAATATATTTCACACAATTTAAGTAAATAAACAATGTTCTTACAAAAAAAATTATACAATTTAGGGAAAGAAATACTTGACATAACATCCAAACTTTGTTTCCAACCCATCGTGATTAGATAAATAGACCTACTTATGATGCAATTTACAGCATCTTCTTGGGTAATTTTTCAAAATTTTCCAATTAACCCCACATCTCCCTTGGTTGATGGACTTCTTTAAGGTTTAAATTGATGGATGTTCCTGGCTGTTTTTTTAACTGGAGATTGATCAAGTATTTCACATTGGGTAGGAGAGAGAATTTGTCACGTCCTCGATCAACACTGGGTGAAGATGATGTGAGATTGTCCAATTACGACATCTTTTTTGTTGGACCTTCGATGCATTCCCAAATTTGATAATTGGGCAGTGTGCATGGTAAGCCTTGAACTGTTTTGGAGGGCTGGCTGAGACGGCTTTTGAATCTGCCGTCACACAAAACCAGAGCCAGATGTATCTAGGCTTGCTGATGGTCGTAGGAATCTGTGAGTCTACTCTATTTCTCTTCAAGGTGGCATAAAAAGATATAGATTTGTCCCTGGTCCTTTTCTCTCTAGAAATCTTATTAATAAAATGGGAAGGCCTGACTGGCTGCCATACAGAATATCACGTAATGCGCTGTAGAAGCAGCTGAAAATGTACAAGGTAAAGTCAATGTCTTTATGAAACTTCAAGATTTAACTACGAACCCCCCCCCCCCCCCCCCCCCAAAAAAAAAAAAAAAAAAAAAAAAAAAAAATCTGGGATGATGAGTTGGGTAGTTCCAAATCCATTACACCAAGGATAAGGTGAAGGTAATAATAATAATAATAGTTTGTTCTTATAAAGCGCTTTTCGGGACCGCAGGCCCTCTCAAAGCGCTTAACAGATATATATTATCCCGGTCATCGGATTCTGGATTACATTCTCCACTCCCAAGGTATGTCCAGATAACCTACCTGATCCATTATGATGTTTGTTTGTAACTCCTCCAGTCGTGTTGCTATACTTGAGACTGGTGTAGAAGCTGTTCCCACTGCGACTAGGGCCCTCTTCTACCTGGGTTGTCCTGAAATTCAACAAAGAAAGCAAAGAAATGTGATACACCACTAGTTTTTGTTCTAATTGTTAGCTAACATTTATATAAAGGCTTTAATCTCAAAGACCATGAGATTATCAATCACTTTATTTTATTTTATTTTATTTTCAATGAATGAGAAAAGATGCATTACGAATCTGAAATTGAACAGAGAGGGAGAGAGAGAGAGGGAGAGGGAGAGAGAGAGAGAGAGAAGGAGGGGGAGAGGGAGGGGGAGAGGGAGAGGGAGAGAGAGAGAGATAGAGAGAGAGAGAGAGAAAGAGAAACAGCAACTTTTGCATCTGACACGCCCTCAAATTGACTTCTTGTACTACTGAATAAAAAAACAAAAAAATATCAGATGAGGAATGCTGGCAATAACCTCTGGTCTTTAGCAGATTTTGTTTAATCTCTCTTGAAAGGGCATGACAACCTGATGAAATCTCCAATTAGCACCTGGTAAAGGGAGAAACCTCAACATTTGATATGAACAATACTTGAAAGGAGGTTGCTCTGTGGTGTGAGGATACTGCCAGGCAGAATCGGAAATTCAATGCATCTTGAAAAGCAATTACGCATAAACAAATTCAGTCAGGTCATTTTTCTCTACGAGGTAGTGAGTGATAGCATGTTGAAATTAGTTGTTTCCTTGTGTAACAAATGTATTTTGCAGAATGGAGTATTGTTCAAGTCAGTCTGCACCTTTTGCTTTGTTTTTCTTTTGACTGAACAGTAGTATATATGCCCCTATTCACTTCTGAATTCCGCTTTTCAGTTGTTGCTCCATTGAATATGGAATTCTGGAAAATAGGTGCTCCCATGCACAAGCCAAGAGCTTGAAAGAGGAAAAGTATTCTCACAATATCAAAATAAACCCAGAATTGACCTTATTTACTCTCGATTTTTCAGCAGAAGCTTTTCAAGTTTAACTTACAAATCAATTAATCTGTACATTTCTCAAAATCTGAACAAGGAGGAGGAGAGGAAGAAGAAGAAGAAAGAAAAAACAAGAGAGAGGAATAAATTCACATCCTCAGACACATAGACAGGAAGGAAAAGAGAAAATGAAAGAATTACACTCCAGGACAATTTTTATCATTTTATTTTTCATAGACTTTTACATTCATCATGTCTTTAAATGTATCATAACTGGAAATCATCACTTTAAAAAAAAAATTGGTTGGAAATACAAAGATGTAGACTGAAATTGGCAATACCAAATTGTAGAAATGTGTGTTCTTTTTTGGAATGTCAACATTCTCTGGAAAATAAGGAATGCATCAACATGAGGTGCTCTACAAAGTCCTCCTGCTTGAAAACTACTCTAAATATAGCTCCAGCTTTAAAAATAAATCAAGCGGCTGTATTACATGAAGCAAATGTTTGAAAAGATGTGAATTTGATTGATGATGCAGTAAGAGCTGATAGGTTTGTTAGCTGGCTCGGCTGTTATATTCCAAAGAAATGGGATATTAACACAACTATGTCAAGAGAGTGAACTCGACTCTTAGCAAGACATTGAACAAATGGCAAGGTCACTGAGAGCATACTGTATGCTCCATGACTGCCTGCCTGGCAGAAACTCAATTTCAAGGGCAATTAACAAATGGTATGTGGTCTGTAATATAAGCACTTCTTATTCAGTTAAGCTATTCTAAGCCCTCGTTCAATCTCTCCTTATTTTCCCCGATTCATTTTAAACCTCTCAAGTAGTTCTCATTAATCAATGTTAAATAAACGTAAGAGTTTGATTCTCGGTCAATCGTAATCACATATGATCCTTGGTCAATCTGTATTCAAAGTTCTTCTATTTTATAGTCATTTTTCATTACCGGTACATTTTACAGTGATATTTTTTTTCTTTTTTTTTCCAGTTTTCTCAGGAAGGGTCGATAATACACTTAATTTTCAAGAATCATTAAGCAATCCTTCACCTTGATATCTTTGTGATGTTTTGTGATCCCAATAAGGAAGAGGTACACGCTGCCTGTGCGTACATGGTAATGATGTGGTTTTTTTCCATTTGATTACTCTTCCATTACTAACATTTCACAGACCAAAAAATATGAAATAATAAAAATGAAATAATACTAGGACAATGGTATTTTCCAGGAAGAATAGCCCACATGAATAATGAAAAACAATCTGATTGAAAAGACAGTGCCCCATTCTATTTCAACCATTTTCAATTTTGATACACATTCAAAGAACTTATTCTCCTTATCAAGGAAAATACAAATGCTCTTTTTGCAAAATATGTATGTTCATATTTATAAGAATACTAGATATGATATGTTTAGCACAATTTGCTTATTTCAGCTTTGTTTTCATTGTTGTGGTGTAATCTAATAATTGCAAGACAACCCTCCACCCCCAAAAAAGAAACAACAAACATTTCTATGTCTTTATTCAAAGCTTATACATCCAAGAATGTAAAAATAAAAGATTATTACACCTCCTTCAACACTGTACACAAAAACAAAGCATTTTCAGGGTTAAGAAAAGTTCATATTAGTTTAAAAACATTTTGTCTGGTGTCAATTGATGAGATCATAATGTTTAACATTACAATCTTCAGCATTTTTAATGAAAACTGACCAACAGACAATGTTATAAATTCTCACAATTGAGGCGTGGCAGAGAGACTGGAATTAATGCATGATGGATGTTTTGTTTATATTTACAATTACAAGTTGCACATACCTAGCGAGACGCTTTGCACTGATTGGTTTACGGGCGTTGGCAGACTGTGGGGGAGGGCGTGGCTGGTGGCTCGGAGAGGATGAATTATTGTTATTGGCCGATGCAGATGCGTTTCGATGGATTGCATCACGAAGAGCCGAGGCATTGGTATGTGCTTGGGCAACCTGGGAAAAAAGATAAACAAGTTCCACAAACATTTTATCTCTTTGCAACATCAACATCGATAGAAGTCAGATGTGATAATTAAAAAATTAATTTGAAATACAATTTTCATAATTGCAAAATTTCATCAAATTACATTTGAAAATGATCAGACTATTTTGATCATTCTTTGACTATGTATAAGGCATTTTAAACAGACCCACACCTAAGTATTCAATGGGTTAAACAAAAATGATATGAAGCAACAGACAAACTGAATTTATAGGGCTGCTCAATACATATTTTAGTTTCATGAGCATCTCTGGGTTCAAGGTCAGGTTACACTGTTTCTAATATTCTCACTATTCAAGTTTCTATTTATAAAAAAAATATCACTGGCTTTTAAGCTTTCAGCACTACCAAAATTATTTAACAAAAAAAAGGTTAAATATAATTAATCAAGTGTTGCCAAATTTAGAATAATTTCATTTCATACAATTTAGGTAAATCTCTAGGTTATCAATTCCGCAGATAATTGCCAATGCTTTTCAACAACATCAAGGATTTATAGTATCGACGTCATAGTCATACTATTGGATGAATAGAATTGGAATTTCAATTAATGATTTGTGAGCTACCTGTATATTATACAACTTGATCGTGGTAGGATAAGCAGATATTAAATTTGCAGATAAGTGAATTCAAAAAATGGTTATGATATTACGATAACACAATCCTAGTGCAAAATATACCTTTGTTGGTCTGAGCATGTAATACATTTTATTCAAGTTGGTCTAGATGGAATAATCAATATCAAGCAAACAAAATAATTTAATTACTCTGTATATCATAAACCATCTGTATTTCAATAACCTATAGAAAACAAATATTTGAATTACCTAAAAGCATTACCATTAAACTTTTAGATACATGTGGATAGAGTGGATTTTGTGAAAATGTGTGATTGACTAGAATAAATGTGCTAGGTTTGGCTTATCCATTCCATTAATAGACCAATGCATCATTTTATTTGGTGATGTATAAGGTTTCCCTGACAATACAACAGGCCAACATTTATTTACATAGAGAGCTTTGATGACCACAAGTAATTTAGGAAAGATGCACCCGGACATTAGAACAAGAATGAAAAGCAGATGTTCAAACGGATGATAGTAGCTGTATCTCTTTAGATCTCTTTCGATCTCCAGACAAAATATAGACTATGATTTGAGGTAAAGCCTCTCGTTAACACATTTACTAGTGTAAATGGTTACCATGGATAAATGACTGCGTTTGTAAACAAAGGCTGGACTGCACCATCTGGCTGTGCGAGAGGAACAAATTCTACCACTTTCGCCTTAACTCTTAGCAATGGCATTTAACTTGGTGGGTGCAGAGGTTGACTTTTCCCCCCTTCACCTTGCATTGTTTGTTAGAAATTGTTATAAGTTGATTGAAAACTGGGATCTCTGCCAAAGTGACACTCATTCGTACATGTTCACGGATCATCGTGTGGTGAGAGGAAGAACAACCGTTAACACATACACTTTCATGAAGTGTTAAAGCTCTTCTGGCTTTCAAAAAAATATACTGAGGGAGCGGGGTGGTGTGAAGAAATTGGTTCCTTGTACTGGGGTGGAAAGTAGCAAGCCAAGACACGTGAAAGCAATTACAAACAGATGGTTTGCCATCTTCCCTCCATGCCTTCTGACATCTTCAACCAGGGAGCACAACTAGGTCTATTCACATCATTACCCTCCCTCTATCACAACAATGGATGTTACTAACTCACTCAAAATTTGATCATTCTCCATCAGCCATTCAGTCTGCTACAGTTTGATCTCATGGCCAGATATTAGGAAGGAAATCCAAGAAAAGAAATGCTATTCTAGTGAATGCACAGAAGCAAGAAGCTAGCTCTCATTCTAAATAGACCATCGGAAACAAATCTGCTTCCAGGGCAACTACTTAGTAAATGATAACAAATGCATAATTAATAATGCACCATCATTCTAGAGTATTATTCAGGGGCTCTGAGTTATTACCTACAACTTCCAATGATGCTTATAGCCTATGAAAAATTATCCTGCAGCAGACCAAATTAGATAGTTGGTTATGATATAACCTGTTAAGAGTAAGATGATGATATACATGTATCAAACGGGCTTGAGATATACTTATACTTTTCAATCCATTCTAAAGGATGTTGCTGCATTATATTTCAAAAAGTTGAGGCATTGAAGAGGGTGTTGGAGAAATCGAGCAAGCATATTGTCAAAAGGCACCTTGGAGCTCCATGCATGTAAAGCATGGTTCAACATGTCCCCATTGGCATTGATCATGATGACTTTAGCAGCACTCGAAAGGTTTGAGATTTGACAAACAATTTACAGAGAGTTTATCTTTCTCTTTTGTTGTTCGTGTGGCTGGATCAGTGATGAAGGTTGGAGATTTGGTTGTAAACAACAAACACGTGGAATCACAGCCTACGACAATGAACCCTACTTACCCTGGCATGTTCCAAGGATGGCCCCCCTGACTGACATACAGGGTTGTTCCCACTCCTGACACCCTGGAACCTCCCTGGGATGTCTAACTACTCTCTCTCTCTTAAATGGTTAAAGGTAAAGACCAGTTTTGGAAATGCCCCCCTCTCAAAAAACGAAATGGACGCTCTCATTACCAATCATGTGAAGAATATGTTTCGACTAATACGTGATCATACAAATTTTGCCGAGAAACCGCCTACTAATTGATATATTTGTATTATTATATCTATTTGGACCTGATAGATATAACGCACGTGTCGCGTAGTCCCATATACATCTTTCTGTGTACAGTGCTTGTAACTTTACCAAGACTGGGCCAAATTTCTTATCATTTTGATGATTCCAGAACCTTGCAGTATACACCAATACTTATATGCTAGATGATCAACCTTTTCTGATCGATTCCACAACATTTCTTTCACAATGCAATCACATGACCATAACTGGTTTTTATCTTTAACATGCAATGCTGTAAGGTTGAGACCAATGTGTTGAACATTGAGAATGTAACTTGGAGTGTCCATGAGAACAAGCCCTTAAATCCAGGAGGATTTCTTTATCAAAACCTTCATGCCCAAGATGCCTCCCTGGTTGAGTCCTAAATCCCAAGTTTACATTTTGTTCTTACAAGACATTCCCATCCCCAATCCACCTTCATAGATACATGTAGCTGGATCTAGGCCTATATATCCTTAAGAAAAAGTTCAGGTTTTGTTAAGGACCACAACTGTTTTGTCAAAATTTATGTCATTTTGGGCACTGAAATTAAACTATTGGGTGAAAGCTCCTGAAAACAAACAATACCAAGCACACCCCCCCCCCAAAAAAAAAAAATCACCCCACATTATATTTACGTGATTGAAATTTTGTGTAAACTGCAATTGATCAGAGCAAAACACTACATGTACATGGCTGCTTCTAGGTTATGATACTCTCATTTAAATTTATCATATTTTTTTTACTATAAAATATTATTTACTCAAGATAATCACCTGTTATCTCAATACAATATTTGCAAATTTTTACTTACATGTAAATGAAAAATAATGAAAATACTTTTGTCAAGGAGTTTGCTGAATTTTAGAGATTAAGTATCAATGCTGCAGATGCACTATCTGTCTCTGAGTGTGTGTCCATGTATTCTGGGAACTTCCGTGCCTGGGCAGGGTATTCTTTGAAACTATTAAACTTCAAACCATCTCATGCAGCTAAATGGTCACAAAAAAAGTAGTTTCAATTTAAACTTAAATGGTTACCGACTCTCATGGGGAGGAGAAAAAAAAACTGTTTTTCTGATGATTTAGGAGGGGAAAGTCAATCAGACCACCGAGGAGATTGGATTGGTCCTACGTGCCAATGGGAAGGTGTTGGAAGAAAAGATGAAACATTTCTCTGGTGATGCCGACAAAGAAAAATGATTTACAGCCTTCCATCATTATCTTCTAAGGGGAATTCCCTTATGGTTTGGGGCTCTAGAACCCCTTTCAGATGGAGCTGATAGACAATTTTGCTCCTTGTCTAAAGATACAAAATGTTATACTTTAAAATAGATTAGAATCAAACACTGAAATCATTGCAAGGTGCTGAGATAGTTCAACATTTCACCAACATCAAAGTAACAAAAAATCTCAGCTCTCACTCATTTCAAAACACAGTGCTTTCAAAAGAACAAATAGAAGGTAATAATAATAATAATAATACAGCATTTATTATGCGCCATCGATCTAGTAAACTATTCTGAGGCACAGAGGGATATAATTAGAATGAGATACATAGAGAAATGAGAAGGGGGAAGAAAAAAGAAGGAAAAAAGAAAGAAAAAAGGTAGTTCAACAACTTACTATAGATTTCAACTTGGTCTATGGAAACAAACAAAAAAGTTGTGGGGACACACTCAACAAGTTCAGGATAACTTAACACATAAAAAAAGTTATCTTTTTTAAATTTACAAGTCACCCCATTACGTAAGTAATGAACGTCAATTTTGTGTAATTACACATGAGAAGAATCTACTGTAAGATGCTAAAATGTATGATAAATCTACATCTCTTTGAGGACGAGCAATTCAAAAGGCAAATAGCTAGCTTGAGAACACTTTGCAAGTTTATCGTTTAAAGGAAGAACCTCAGCCTCAGGATTGCACTGGTCATCCTGGATAAAGACTCTTTGAAATACTACAAATACAGTAGAAGCAGTATCATATGGGTCTGAGATTAGTGACCAAAGCTCATCCGTATGTCTCCATCTATTCTGAATCTTCCCTATTGCTATGAGACGTGGAACGAGAACAGACGATGGTGATGAGGGAGATGGAGCTGCGTGGAGGTTGAGGAAGGAGCACCCAGGCATTGAACCAAGGTGAGATGGGAACTCCGTTGAGGCGTCTCCATGGTAACGCATCGCCCCGATTGATAGATCCAATCAGTGAAGGATTCAAACTGTTCAAAAGACTGCTAATCATAACGAAACTAGCAGCAGGGCAGGGATGGCAATTGCAGTTATCTCAGATGTTATTGGCACGACCGTTTTGTATCTTGTCACGTTCCCTGTTTCTTTTCTTCTTAAGTTACAGTGAGCATAATGGACTTTCTTAGAAAT